TTGTGTTCGGCATTGAAACGGGGGGGGCGACCAGCTTTCTCGAACAGTAAACGCCCCCTCCCAACCGTCAGTTTGCTGCGACTCAAGAGCCGAGCAACCAGCTTGGCTACTTTTTCTTCCAAAGAAACTTGCCAGAAACATGTCGAGTCTTGCAGGTTGCTCGGTGCTCACTTATGGGGTCTAGTTCGCCACTGGGCTCGTGGCGGGGCAGTCACGTTCCCCCATAGGCACCTGCAACAAAACGCAGCGAGAGCGTCGGAAAATCCGAGAATGTTTTGTCTAAATGAGGCGAAAATCAGACAACTTGCGCTAAACAACCAGTCTAAATGGAATACCTTGAATTTTGGCAAGAACTAGTTGAAATTGTGTAATTCGCGCCTAAAACCTAGTCTAAATTGAACAGACCGCCTTACTAGAACCACGATGTTGTCGCTGTTGTGGCTCGGTGCAGATTGCAGACTGTGATTGGCTTGCACCGCGATTGTCTCTTGTCTGCATGTGCGTGTCATGCGATGTGGAAATGATTATTCCGAATTTTTGAACTGTAATGCTTGAAGCGACCATCTCCGAGGCAAGTTCATGGAGGGAGAAGTGGCAAGATCGGCAACACAAGAAATCTACGATCAAGTCCTCCGAAAGGCGCGGCAGTGTATTTCAGGCGATGCTGCACGCCGACTGGCAATAAAATCCAGATGTGGGAGAAGCATCACTCGCACACTTTCGCTGTGATATTGGCCAGGAGCTGGGCAGAACAGCTGAGCTACAAGAGCAGCAGCAGCAGCAGCAGCCCACGGCGCCTAACGGCAAGCCCGGAAAGCCTCGAGAGAGGCAACATCCAGACTTGTATTGAACCAAGGCTGGTTTCACGCGCGCACGCGCCCCCTGGATGTTCAGGTCTGCGGTGTCCGACGGCCAGAGAACCTCTCGACAGCAGGCGGGTTCGTCAGAAAGCATGGAGTGGTGTGCAAAAACTGAGTCTCTTTATTCGTGTCCAGGACAGGGATCCCTCGTCCCGGCCCGCGACTGCACAGAGCAAGAGCTCATCCAAGGCATCAGCGCGCAATACCGAAAAAGTTTTTTTCAGGTCTTTCTAGCACCTTGGTACCCTTGGTCGTCCTTTTGCTCCTGTTTCCGTTCAGGCGCGGAGCGTGCAAGAAAAGTCTCGCTGGGTCCGGGGCCTGGCATGGACCCCTTAGGGCCTTAGGGACCATCTTGGCCTAGGGGTTTGGGTTCAGGGTTTAGTCTGGTTTAGTGAGTTTTTCGTGTTCCGTGCGCCTAAGGTTGCGCCGGATTTTGCCTCGGTTGCCTTGTCGCTGACAGCTCAGCGTCTGTCTGTCTAGGAGGATGCATAACTGCGAGTGGCATGATTGCGATGTCAGGCCCCACAACCTTGAGGACCGGAGCCGGCGTGATGATGTCGGAAGAAGGCCTAGCCGCGCAGCATTCCATTTGACATCCAGGATGCGCTCACCGAGCGGGCCTTCGCGGAGCATCCGTCCCGCCAGTCCATTGGCTTGAGTGAGGCAGTGGCCAGGGCCCTACAGTACTACCCGGTTACTACCCCTCGAGCCATTTTCTTCAATAGGTTCAGCAATAGGTTCAGATTCAAATTGTCGTAGGCAAATGCCATTGCAGATTCGAATTCGTGCACGGAGCAACATGTGATGCCGGATTCCGCGTCTCTCCCTGGCGTGTGCTGCGCGCACATCCCCGTTGCACTATCAGTGTTGGGCTTCCTACTCATTCCTACTGTCGAATTGTAGACGAAAGCATTGAATTAGTTTCATGACTTTCCTGGATCTCCTCGATGCCGTTGTGCGGTGGGACAGTTTGGAACATCTTTTGGGTGGGAGGGGGGAAGGGGATTGAAGGGGTGTCCGAAAGAATGTTCGGACTTGTGGGATTCTGCCACAGTTTCTCTAGTGTTCGGACTTGTGGGATTCTGCCACAGTTTCTCCAGTGCCTCCGGAAACCCGCATGCGTTCCACAGTCCCGAATGCATGTAACGCTTGGAGCTCCTGAACTGGTCTTCCGCTGTTTGTGTTTTCGCTGGCATGTACCTACACGGGATTCCCAGGGGGAACGATTCTGAGATAAAGCCAGCCTGGGTGATCAACACATGATTCACCAACTGCGCTTCAGCAACTGCACTTCAGAAACCATGCCCCTTCAGCAACTGCGCTTGAGCAACTGTCGCGGTTCAGCAACTGCGCTTCAGCAACTGCCGCGTTTCAGAAACCGACCCAACGATTTCCACATTTTCCACGACTGCGATTGAGCAACTGCCTAATGACGCTCATTGTCTTTTGGGAGCAGAGCACCATGTTCAAAACCTATAATGACGTCCATGGTCCAGTGCGACTTGGGACCAGAGCATCCATGGCCAAAACCTTATGACGTCCATGGTCCAGGGCGAGTTGGGAACGGAGCATCCATGTCCAAAACCTAATGACGTCCATGGTCTACTGCGGTTTGGGACCAGAGCATCCATGTCCAAAACCAAATGACGTCCAGGTCTACTGCAATCATCCATGTCCAAAACCTACTCACGTCATTAGGTTTTGGATATGGGTGCTCTGTTCCTAAATCGCACTCGACAATGGACGTCATTAGGTTTTAAGCATGGATGCTCTGGTCCCAAATCGCACTAGACCATGGACGTCATTAGGTTTTGGACATGGATGCCCTGGTCCCAAATCGCAGTAGACCATGGGCGTCACTACTCGTAGGTTTTGGACATGGTGCTCTGCTCCCAAATCGCACTAGGCCATGGGCGTCCTTTGGTTTTGGACATGGGTGCTCTGGTACCGAGTCCCAAGTCGTACTAGACCATGGACGGGCGTCCATGGTCGAGTGCGATTTGGGAACATACAATGCTTCAAAAAAGCATGAGGCAAACAGGGTACGATGCTGTGAGGGGCATAGGTTCTGGTCTTAGCGGTTTTGCTCCTTTGGGCAAGGAGTGTAGCTTGAGCTAGTAAGCAAGTGTAAGCAGGTCGAACTCGACATTCACGCAGCCCAAAGTACAATGTAGCGAAGCATTGATTTTCGCCCTTCCAGGCCCTTGCAGATCCTTAGGCCGCTATGCTCCTGGCAACTGTTCCGTAATCCTGGTTTCCGACTGCTGCGTTTGGCTTCTGAATCCGTTTCTGAATCAGCCGATCTGGTTCCTGAATCAGTCCTTCTGGTTTCTGAACCCAGTTATAGTTTCCGAGTCAGCCGTTCCAGTTGCCGAATCAGCCCTTCCAGTTCCAGTTTCTGAATCACGGCTGGTTTCTGAATCATGGCTGGTTTCTGAATCAGCCGTTCTGGTTACTGAATCACTCGTTTCTGTTACCGAATTTTCCGCCGACCAGCCTGGGTGGGGAAAAGCCAAGGCGGGCGAACATTCCCTTCGCGATCTTCTGGGGGATTCTTTCATGAGGTTCTTGTGGTGGTTTGTAACTAGGTGCGAGATGTGGTCAGCGTGACGGTGCGGGATATCGTCGGCATCTTTGAATCGCTCCTCGATCGCCTTCTGATCGAGAAGAAGATGGACCGCCCAAGCAGTTTACTGTTGCTGGGATTTCCTGTTCTCGCGTTGGGATCCACCAGGAGACGATTCGAAGCATGGCCGACGGCTCAGTGCATCAACGTCAGGGAGCGGCACAAATTCTGGCAGACGATCGGCCCAGGTCGTGGAGTTCATGACCGAAGATCTTTCTGCAACCATCGAAGCCGGTAAAGAGGAGCTTAAAGAGAGCGGCACTCAGTTTCAACCCGCCCTTCCGCCCTACTCGTGCATATTAGCTTCTCGCACTCGCATGCCTGGCCCAGGAAGGAGATCGGCCACGTCCTCCAGGAGAGATGGTCTGATGTGACATCAAGACTGGATCATACTGGATCCCCATACTGTATTACAGGGCTGCAGGTACACCTGCAGCATTTGCGTGCTGGTTCACGATGGGGGTGCTGATTAAACAGGCAGATCACTGGGGGATTGCAATTTAGTGATAATCTGCTCGTCATGCCGACCGGAGCATCGGCAGCAACAGCCGCGCCAGACACCACAAAAGATGCACAAGCACACCTGAACATCGCAACAGCAACAGATTTAATTTATGTATATGCACAGACTGAAGGTCCTAACTTTAGATCTCGAGACATCTCGAGACAGCATTCTGGCATTGGTCCAGCAACAACCTATAGGCTATAGGCAATACATGCACCGGCATAGACGATGATACACAATGTGCTCTGATGCAGGACATACGCGATCTGCGCAAGCAGGCCCCGAAGCCCAAGGACATGTCATTGCTTTCCTGAAATACCAGTACTGTACCATACAGATACTTGCTTTAGTGTAGCTCATGCAGCAGCAGAGTCCCTTGTGAAAAAGTGTAGCAGTGTAGTTCATGCCGTCATATGTTTCCATGTACGATGGTGTTTAAGGCATGTCTCCAACTATGCTGGTGTCCTACCTGCCGCTTCATCCTGTTATTGTATGTTGGCATGTTCTCGTGTTGTGTCTTGTGTCACAGCTTGGTATCCCATACATAGATGCATGCATACACACATGTGATGTGTCTGGTGGTCATCATGGGTTGAGGTAGTGCCTGAAATCTCCCCATGTCGCAAGCTGCAACATGACAGATGGACGAGACCGACCTAGCCTGGGAGCAGAAGCCGGGGGCTCAGAAGCCGAATGGTCTGCTTCCTGGTGTGGCAGTTCTGGCTGTTGGCACGAAACATTGCAACGATGACTGCGGACCTCGGTTCAAACCCAAAGCAGAGCTGGCAAAGCAGCTTCTGAAGCTTTTGGGTTTCAGAAGCTGCTCCCATTCACCGCAGGCTTGAGAGCTAGATCTTCATACGGGGCGGGGCGTCGCTTCCAGGGTTCGTCAATGACAAGGATGCCAATCCAATATTCCACCCACGCACCATTTGAACGCTTGAAGACGTCCGGCGTATGGTTCGCGATTCATGTGGTGGTAAAGGATTGTGCGTACTCAGCCTTGCGCATCTCGCCACCGGTGCGATGTGCCTTCGAGGAAAGTGGCCGGGCGAGCTCCAATCAAGCCTGTGTAAAAAATTTGGTGGTAAAGATCGTTGTTGGGTGGTGTCGGCGTTTTCATGGCAAGAGCAATCAAGTCAGCCAGGATTGGGGTAAGTCGTTGTGCAGTCGTGTCAACTTTGTTCTTGGGCAGAGCAAAACTGCTAGCCAGGATTGGGATAACGTCGTTGTTGCGTGGAACGAGCAAACCAGGCTTGGGGTAAAGTCGTTCCTTGTGGGTTCGTGCTGACGACGTTTTCGTGGAAAGAGCAAACCACGAAACTGTCGACACTGGCTGACATGTTTGTTTGGACGAGGGCGTGGGCATGACCCCACAACGACCTTACCCCAATCACCAATCCTGGCTGACCGGCTTGCTCCATCCTCGAAAACGTCGCACGACCCCACAACGACTTTACCCCAATCCTGGCTGACAGGTTTGCTCTCTCTCTCTCTCACACGGACTCGAGTCGATCATACCGCGAAGAAGCAAGTCGTCATGTCAGCCAGGATTGGGGTGAAGTCGTTGTGGGATCGTGCCGATGGACAGAGCTGTCAGCCAGGATTGGGGTAAAGTCGTTGTGGGGGCGTGTCGATGTTTTCGTGGGAATAGCAAACCTGTCAGCCAGGATTGGGGTAAAGTCGTTGTGGGGTCGTGCTGACGTTTTCGTGGAAAGAGCAAACCTGTCAGCCAGGAATGGGGTAAAGTCGCTGTGGGGTCGTGCTGACGTTTTCGTGGAAAGCAAACCTGTCAGCCAGGATTGGGGTAAAGTCGCTGTGGGGTCGTGTCGACGTTTTCGTGGGAATATCAAACCTGTCAGCCAGGATTGGGGTAAAGTCGTTGTGGGGTCGTGCTGACGTTTTCGTGGAAAGAGCAAACCTGTCAGCCAGGATTGGGGTAAAGTCGCTGTGGGGTCGTGTCGACGTTTTCGTGAGAATATCAAACCTGTCAGCCAGGATTGGGGTAAAGTCGTTGTGGGGTCGTGCTGACGTTTTCGTGGAAAGAGCAAACCTGTCAGCCAGGATTGGGGTAAAGTCGTTGACAGAAAGCACAAAACGAACGTGTGTTCCTCAGACTGACTGTCGGGCAGGAACTGGTGGTTGCAGGAGCGGGGGCTTGATGCGTCGCCCCTTCAAGTCGTTGTCCACTGTAGGCCACCAGGCAGAGCCAGATAATCGCAAGCTTGGTGTAAGCACCGGTAGCGCACCGGTTTTCGACAGCGTCATTGACCGTGTTGCATCAGTTTTGATAGGAGCTGTTGTTTGGGCAGCGGGGGGCAAGGGCCACACCTCCTGCCAATTCTGTCACCACACGTGGCAAAGACCTCGAAGGAGCATCGAAATCCCCAGAATTGACATCCAACATGCAATCATTCAAGTCTGGCTCTGACCGAGATATTTCCGTCAGAACAGCCAGAGAGTTCCAGAATCGACGCTTCGGCAATGCTTTCGGTCATCATGTCGGTTCAAGCATGCCTTGTTCTTCTGAACCGCGAAGGTTCAAGAGAGTCGGGGAGCTCGAAAGGGCATTCGGCAACTTCAACGACGATGCGGGCGACCGATTTGCCAACCTGGAGGCCAGGCTCTGCCCCAGGATCCCCAGGCCTCAGCTGTGACGCGATTGCGCATATGGCATATGGGTCTCGCAGGCGCGCCTGCGCACCTTGGAGAAAGCTTCCGTGCGACAGGAAGCACTGGATGCTGTCTTGAAGGCTCGCAAACTGCACCATGTATGCACGAGGGTCACTGGACGAGTCACGAGCGACCACCCAAACCAAGAAGCCTGTTAAATCGGTGCCAGTGGCTTCCATAGCCTCTTAGCCTCGAAAGATGAGAGCCCGCCTTTGCTCTTCCGACGCAATTCGACAAAAATCGCCTCGCCTTCGCCTGGAGCCGTCCGAGTGCGAGAGTCCAGACTCTAGAAGCAGGCATCGTGCCCAGCCACTGACGGGTGTTTCGGACGTGCAGTATAATTATACGCGTGTTCCTGCGACTGTTGCACCCCTGCGCAGCGAGTGACGGCAAAAGAGACGAGCAGAGACTGCAACATTGGTGAGACAGCACTTTAACAGTCCTTGGGCTGCCGTGAGGACATCGCTCAGGACAAGGCTGACAAGACAGCTGACATCGACGAGCTTTTCTCAAAGGCCCCAAGCTTTCTTGCATGCCACGCTACACCAGCAGTTAACAGTTATTAAACAGGTCGGTGCCATGCAGAGACAATTCGGGATCCTTTTCACCGGAACATGAAACTGCAAGTGCTGGAAGGACGAAAAGACTCAAAGACATCTGCAGGACCTACAGGACACTGTGTCCACCAGCTTCATTCTCAGTTTCCCATTCCCAGCGCACACCAACCACGTCGGCACCGGAAGATTTGGCATTCGCTGGCGAAGGCTTAGCCTCGAAGAAGGAGGTGGAAGAGGTTGTGGTTAAGAGACAGCGGAGGGAAGTAGAACGAAAAGAGAAAGATTGAAGTGATTGGAGGGTAACCGCGGGCTTTGTGTGGGCCAGGCCATGCAGCAGGTCTTGGAAGAGCTGCATCAATCTTCCGATGATGTGACGGAAAGCCTGAAGGCCGGCCCAGATACCTACATCGGGTGGTGTGTGCACAGCTCACGGTCAGGATCTGCAAAGCAAAGTTGCTTGGCATGCTGACGTCGAGGTGGGGTTTGATTGCAGCTTGCATTTGCAAGACCACGGTCTGCTTACTACAGTACTTGTTGCTTCAGGAGTTGGACATGAATCAGCGTCAGAAGATCTCTGCCGTGCAGTCCGACGTGAACAAGGTCAGCTCATCTGGGTGCCGTGACTTTCGCACTGCCGACACTGATGCTTCAGGCACACGATGGGCTCAAAGCGCCTGGCCCCCGGGAGAGTGCGTGCCAGCGGTGGGAGGAGCACATGAGCTTGAAACAAGGTTCGGAGACAAGTTTGACTCCGTCATCAGCCTGGCTTCGTTCTGTTGTGTTTCCCTGGCTTTCGGGTCGTCAGTTCGTTGAAACACCTTTTGCAGCCGACATGTGGCAAATCTTCTGAGGCGCAGCAGCAAAACCATGAGGTGTTTGCCAGGAACGTGCAGGCACTACTGGCGGCCTTTTCGCTTGATTCATTTCTGCGTGCATGACGTCAGGGCTGAGGGCTTTAGGAGCTGAAGGGCTTGGACAGGTTAGCGGCTAGAGTTGCGGTTTCCCAAGGTTTGCAGGGAGGCTTGAAGATGTCACTGAGCTATTGCACCATTTGCAGACATTCGCAGGTCAGGGAGATGTTCTCGCAGTATGGCGAGATGATGGAGGCAGCGTCCGGTTGAAAACGTGCCGGGCTCCGAGGGCTTTGAGAGTCGTTCGATGCAGTTTTTGGGGAACGTGTTGAAGGTCCCGGAGTTAGAGGCAGGTCCAAACATGGATTTGGCGGCGGAGGCTGAGGCGAGGAAGCAGCACAAACTGCGAGACTCGAAAGCTGCCGCCAATCGCTACAATTGCTGTCGAAAGCACCTTCCCATGCATCAAAGAACATATTGATTATGTATGTCTGTGTTTGTGAATCAGACGCGAGTCCGGAACTTGGCTTGCAACCATCCCGACCGAGTCCAGAAGCCAGCCCTCTTCTCAAGATATGCAACCACAGTTCGTTCGAGGGGTTCTGCTACACAGGCATTCAGGAACATGTACATGTCTTGATATTCAGGCTCCTTGGCACGGATTCAAGACAGGGTGTAGTGAGGATAGTGAGGCCAAGCATTGATCGGAGACCTGTACGAGCATGTCCGCAAGGAAGCCTATGTTTAAGCCTTTAAGCCTTCCACAACCTCTCCTGTAAAATAAGAAGCACAATAGTACAATAATAAGAACAACAATATCACTAATATGAATAGAGGTACAAAATTCAGTTGACATTAACAACAATCAGAACAACCACACTGACCTCTCTTTTTGTCTCTTGGTCTTGCTCCCTGTAGCTTGTTGGCAGGATCTGGAGAAACGACTTTCCGAGGAGCAGCAGAAGCTGGGCCAACAGAAGGCACTGGCAGTGACTCTCTCCACGGTTTAGGGTTTAGGGCTCAGGGGTTACAGATGAGTATGTGTCCACTTTGAAGAGCATGGTGTTCGTGCATTGCTGCGTGCTCCTGCATTCTAGGAGGTTTTTCCGTTGTCGACACGAAGCATTCGTTTTGAACGTCGTATTGCCGATCTCCGGCATGCAGAAAGCCATTGCAAACACACAGGTAGGTTAGGACTTAGCAGGCCTGGAATAGCTCCGTACTGTCGAGGTGCATCGTACGGAAGCATGCTATGAACTCACAGAGTTCATCCGACCCAACGCAAGGTACTTCTAGTATGATATGTTATGATATCATCGTGAGCAGAAGTCGGTATCTTGAGGTGGACAAAGCGGATCTCCAAGACAAGATGTCGACCGCCTATGGCCGCATGGAGGAGCTGAAGGCGGCTTCGCCCTCAGCCTCAGCCGCCTCAGCCGCCTCAGCCTCGAGTCGTTGCCGTGGGAGCAACCTGGGCCCCCCATTTTGCGCGGCACAGGTCGACGAGAACATCTCCAACGGCCTCAAGGAGCTGGCATCCGTGGTAAGTGACCTGCAGGCCATGATGCCAGACCTCGGTTTCATGGCATAAGTCAATCTTCGCAACAGGCATGCAAGCCAAACATCTGTTTTAATAATCTCGTTGTCGCCATCACTCGTGTCGCTTAGACATGTCCTTCGGGGGCACATGTGCAACAAGACGCAAAAGCCACCGTATCGCACTGGAAAAAACTGTTCCAAGTTAGAAGATTGTCAGCGTGCTTTTTTTTTGTCGCGCCATCGCCGGGTTTCTTACATCACATCGATCAGCGCCCGCACTGGGGTATGCTCTGGCAATTGAGGGTAGTAGGGTGCGTGTTTCTGTTTCTGTTTTTCATCATTTGCTGATGTTTTTGCCTGTTTTCGGTTGGGGGGGTGCCTCGGATGCCTCGCCTTCAGCCCCCTTCAGCCCCAGCAGCTGGGCCCTG